AAAAAAAAAAAAAAAAAAAAAAAAAAAAAAAAAAGCACTTGCCTAGCACTGCAATTTTATGAACTTTATTAACATTACTGAAAAACTACTTAACTGCCAGGCAGTAGTGGCATATGCCTTTAATCCCAGCACTCAGGAGGCAGAAGCAGGTGGATCCCAGTGACTTTGAGGCCAGCTTGGTCTACAAAATGAGTTCCAGGACAAGCCAGGACTGTTACAAAGAGAAACCCTGTTTCAAAAAAAAAAAAAAATTAAAATCACATCTATGGCTCCCGTCTGTAGCCACATCATATTTTCATTTACTTTATTTAATATAAAAAGCATCCTGGTTGGTATAGAAACTGCTGTATGTTTTTAGTTCACTTTCTTTTTAAATTTTAAAGTATGTGATTATTTAATAATACATATGTTTTCTTTTGGGTAGAATGTTTACTATTTCCTCACTACGGCAGCTATTCTTTGGTTGTTAACTTGACTACATCTGGAATTACCTAAAACCCCAAAATAGAAGGCCACACCTTGAGAGATTTTTTTTTGTTGTTTATTGAAGTGAGAAGACCCACTTCTAATACGGACTTTTGAGGTGGGAAGACACACCTTTAGTTTGGGACACATCTGCTGGCTGCCCATATAAGTTCATGGAGGAAGGAAACTCTTGCTCTTTGACTGTTTGCTCTCTCCTGCTAGCAAGTCCATTCCTTCACTGGTACTAGAGCCTACTTCTAGGTTAGGCTGTATAGTGATGATCGGCCTCGCGAATTGAATAACTACTGGATTCTTGGATCTTTTGTTCACAGACACACAATGTTGGATTAGCTGAACCACAGCCTGTGAGACATTCTAATAAATCCCCTTTATATATATATGGGAGAGTGATATAGATTCATTCTATTAGTTTTGTTACTCTAGAGAACCCCATCAAACACACCCACCCCTAAAAATCTTAATCACAAAATACAGCAGGCAGATGTTCTCGCATTACAGATGTTTTTTTTTTAATTTCTAAAGTATAAGCATCCCTCTATAAAGAATTCTAAAGTTTTAAAAGTTTTAAAGGGATTTTTTTTTCAAATAATATAGGATTAGCAGTTGCTTGTTATTCTCTTCAATATCGAAAGGAAAACTCCTTACTATGCCAGGGAATTAAGTGCTTTCTTCAAATCTTTGTTCCACCAGCATTACAAATATAGGAGAAACAATCACACAAGAGTAGGTTTTTTTGTATATTCAGAATTTTCCCATATATGTGGTGATATTTTATGTTTTAACAAATAAAGCTTGCCTGAAGATCAGAGTGTAGAGCTAAGCCAGGGAGTGGTGCCACACACCTTTAACCCCAAGATTTAGGATTAAATCTGTTAGTTCAA